TTCATGTAATTTGGAGCGAAATCATAGGAGGAAAAAATAATTTTTTTCTTTCGCAGCTTCTTCAAGAATGGAGCATGTAAATTTCGGTGAAAGTCTGAATTTTAAAAAATCGCTATATTAGAAATTATATGAGAAGGTAGAGCTGTTGAGAGATGTCTAGTTTAATTGTGTTTAAAGGTATGAAGATATTTCTTGTATAGATGAATTTTCGTCATGATGAGTTATAGCAGAATGGTCTCGAGAATAAATATCAATAAACTTGCAGGAGGCATGTAGATGTTGTTGAAACTGTCATTTTGCAAAGAAATCAGACGGAGGGAAATTTCAGATAAAAAAGTTACATCCGCGTGAATTTAAGCCCCTGAGTTGTAGGAAAACTCATCAATCTCTGGTTGTTTTTGTCTGTCAGGACACCTTTTGGACGCAGGGGCAATGTATTTGTGTATCCCTAAACACAATGAATTGCGTACCGATCAGAGGCAATACTACATGTATGACTCCTGTTATAAACATCCCTCACCACATTTCATTGGCTATAAGTGATTAGTCTACGACCTACCCTTCATATCCAGGCATTGTTACAACCGGTGTTAAAAAGTTTTAAGTTTGTCGAGTGCATCATAATTGACATGTTCATTAAACGTCTGCGAGTGTCTGTAATGAGGATTAAGAAAATATATAAAGATCTATTTAAAGAAATAGAACGTGTCTTGAAATACATGTTTATTAGAGAACGAGGATACTTTTTAGACAAAAAATTTTCTATTATCAAAGGAGGTTTTAGAGCATTTCCAGGCGTCGGTGATATTTTTTAAAATATTTTTTTTGAGTTGTTGGTGTATTCCCAGATGTAGTTGTGGTTCTGATGATGTTGGTCTGGTCTTATTGTAGTGCGTATTTGATATGAAACTCAAAATAATAAAATAATAGTTGTTCTAAAATGATGTCTAGGTGATCTTTTTGTAATAGATTTGGTTTGTATAGCTAAGGAAAGGTAACAATGGGTACCTTTTTGACATAGCTGTTCCGGGTGATCGCGGCGTCGGTTGCAGAGAGCCACGTTTCGCCTGGTCAGTGTCGGCTATCGCATAGTGACAGCCTGAGAAAGCCTCGCTGAACAGCAAACGTCAGCCTCTCGCACGACGCGCGTCACACGACAGCCTAGAAGTAGTCGGACTCGGCGCGGAACCTCGTGTACGTAAATGGGTACCTTTGTTAACTCTCATCATCTGTGTTGTTGATAACTTTTACTCTTACCTTTGGAATATATTGTAAACATTTAAATCGATTACCAAACTCTGTGTGAATGAGGGTTGCGTGGGGGCAGGAGTGGCGGCGCGGCGCGGTGCTGGCGCGGCCGAACGCGCCGGGCACCAGCAAACCGGCGTGGGCGCGCGGCTCGACGCCCGCGCGCAGATTTTGCAGCGCTCATGGAGGTGTTCGACGTGCGCGGCCAGCCGCTCGCCTGGGCCAACCACGGCGCGTTGGCCGCGCGCTGCGCCCGTCTTCGTGCAGCGCAGGCGCCCAGCAGCGTCGGCTCTCAGCCCTCTCCAGGTCAGCTGTCGCGTCGGCTCCTCGTCCTCCGGCTCGCGCGCCACTGCTGCGTCAGAGCACATCTCCGTGCCCTCCAGACCGCAGTGCTCGCGGCGAGTTAAAATAATTCCATGGATAAGTCTACGACAATTCTCCAAGCAGACTCGGTGAATGAAACTCAAGAGTAACATCACACTAAGTTTATTACATAAGAAGCAAAATAGCAAAGTAACAGCAAATTTCTTAAAGAAGTCAAATGGTAGTGAGCAAATACCAACTATTTCTTACAGCTATAACGCGCTACCCCGCACTTCTGTTTCCCGATTAGAGGTTGGAGAAGGGGTAACACTGGCATTGGCCACGTGTTAGAGCTTAAGCGCGCTCCGCTGCCCTTATCAGGAAGGGGATGAGGCCTCAGGCGAGGGAACTTCGGGAAATCACTGGCGGTGAAAGTTTAAGTGAACCCTTTGAATATGTGTAGGTCAAAGGGGCAGGCTTCAGTAACATGGACGGAATATTGCAAGCTATCCGTACGTATTGCGGTTACAGAAGGCCTGCCTCTTCCTCATCCAAATGACAACTTATCGGAGGAGCCATTTCGTTATTTTAATTGAAGGCG